AAGGCCACGAAGAACGACACAAGACATCTGGATGGCATTTAAGCTTCATTTTAAGAATAATGGGGTCTTCTGAAGAGTGTTTTCAGTGGGTCAAATTTCAGAATTGCACTTTGGAAAGCTCGCCCCGGCTGCAATGAGGGTAATGGATTGGAAGGGAAAGGAGTGGAGGCTGGGAACACCACTGTGACCATTACTGTGGCTGTGCAGGAAGGAAGAGATGCAGCCTGGCCTGTGGTGGCAACAGTGGAGAGGGAGGCTCTAGGGAGCGTGGAGAGATAGATACCCACGTCCAGGACCCGGGGGACAAGGAAGAGTACAGAGTCCAAATTGATTCAGGGCTTGGGCAACTGAATGTTTCGGAGGTGAAAGAAGAAAGAGATTTGAGGTAACATTCAAACGATGCATTAACAAGCCCTTAAGGAGCTACTCATACCAAAGCAAAAGAACGCGACCTTGTTTTTGATTCCTTTTCTTTTTCCTTTTTAAAAAGATTTTTATTTATTTATTTTTAGAGAGATGGGGAGGGAGGGAGAAAGAGAGGGAGAGAAACATTAATGTGTGGTTGCCTCCTGTGGGCCCACCATTACCTATTATCACAGCATCCTGCAGAGTGGTGTCACTGCCTTTAAAAGAATCCTCTATACTCCGCCTTTTTTTCCTTCCATCCTCCCTAGCTCCTGGCAACCACTAATTCTTTTACTGACTGTATAGTTTTGCTACGGCTTCCTTCACTTAGTAATATGCATCTATGTTTCCTCCATGTCTTTTCATGATTTGATACTTCATTTTTTTTTTCTTACCTTACCACTACAGTTGACATACAATGTTATATTAGTTTCAGGTGTACAACATATTGCTTAGACATTTCTATGGCTTATGAAGTGATCACCCTGATAAGTCTAGTACCCCCCCAACACCTTACCGATTTATTACAGTGTTACTGACTATATACCCTATGCTATACTTTACCTCCCCATGACTGCTTTTAAAACTGGCAATGTGCACTTTTCTTTGCAGTCCGGCGCTCAGTCCACTGAGCCACACCAGCCAGGGCTACGATGTGTACTTTTCAATCCCTTCACCTTTTTCATCAGTTTCCCCCAATCCCACTCCCATCTGGCAACCATCCAACTTTTCTCTGTTTCTATGAGTTTGTTTCTGTTTTGCTTGTTCATTTATTTTGTTTATTACTCCACATATTAGTGAAGTCATATGGTATTTGTCTTTCTCTGTTGGACTTATTTCACTTAGCATAATGCCCTCTAGGTCCATCCATATTGTCACAAATGGCAAGATTTCATTCTTTTTTATGGCTGAGTAATATTTCATTGTATATATGTACTATAACTTTATTCACTAGTCTATTGATGGACACTTAGGTTGCTTCCGTATCTCTGCTATTGCAAATAATGCTGCGGTGAACTCAGGAGTACATAAACCTTTGTCAATTAGTGTTTTGGATTTCTTCAGATAACTACCCAGAAGGGGACTGATGGGCCGTATGATAGTTCTATTTCTAATCTTTTGAGGAACCTCCATATTTCTTTCCACAGTGGCTGTACCAACTTACATTCCCACCAACAGTGCATTAGGGTTCCCTTTTCTCCACATTCTTGCCAACACTTGTTTGCTGATTTATTGACAAGTGTGAGGTCATATCTCACTGTGGGTTTAATTTGCAATTCCCTGATGATTAGTGATGTTGAGCACCTTTTCATATGTTTCTTGACCATCTGTATGTCCTCTTTGGAGTAATGTCTATGCAGGACCTCTGCCCATTTTTTAAATCAAATTGTTGGGGTTTTTTTTGTTTTTGTTTTTTGGTGTTGTGTGAATTCCTTATATATTTTGGAGAGTAACCTGTTTTAGGATGTATTATTGGTGAGTATCTTCTCCCGTTCAGTAGGTTGTCTTTTGTTTTGTTGATGGTTTCCTTTACTGTTCAAAATCTCTTTAGTTTGACATAGTCCTATGTTTCTTTTTTCTTTGGTTCCCTTGCCCAAGAAGACATATCCAAAAATACATATCAATGTATATTACTAAGAGTTTTGTCATAGAGTTTACTGCCTATGTTTTCTTCTCAGAGTTTTATATTGTCTAGTCTTACATTTAAGTCTTTAATCCATTTTGAGTTTATTCTTATAGGTGTTGTAAGAAAGTGATTCAGTTTCATCTTTTTGCATGTGTCTTCCAGTTTCTCCAACACCATTTATTAAAGAAATTGCCTTTCTCCCATTGTATATTCTTGCCTCCTTTGCCATTGATTAATTGACGATATTGACATGGGTTCCTATTCTTTTTCACTGATGTATAACTTTGTTTTTATGCCAGTACTATGCTGTTTTGATTACTATAGCCTTGTAGGATAGTTTGATATCAGGTTTTCCTCAAATTTTGTTTTCCTCCAACTTTTGTCTTCCTCAAGGTTGTTTTGGCTAATTTGGGATCTTTTGTGTTTCCACATAAATTTTAGAATTGTTTATTCTAGTTCTGTGAAAAATACCATTTTGGTAAGGATTCCATTTAATCTGCTTTGGGTGGTATGTATATTTAAACAATGTTCATCCTTCCTATCCATGAGCACAGTATATGCTTCCATTTATTTGCATCTTCAATTTCTTTCTTCAATGTCTTATGTTTTTCTGAGTACAGGTCTTTTTACCTCCTTGGTTAAATTTATTTCTAGGTATTTTATTCTTTTTTTAATTTCTCATTCAAGGGCATGTTTACTGATTTTAGAGAGAAGGAAGGAAAGGAGGAAGAGGGAGAGAAACATCGATGCAAGAGAGAAACATTAAGCGATTGCCTCTCATATTGCACCCAAACAGGGACCAAACCCACAACCTAGGCATGTGCCCTGACCAGGAATTAAACCCATGACACTCAGTTTATGGATGATGCGCGAACCAAGTTAACCATATAGGGCAGGGTCTAGGTATTTTATTCTTTTTGTTGCAACTGTAAATGTGATTGTTTTCTTAATTTTTCTCTGATAGCTGATTATTGGTGTATATAAATTCAATTGATTTCTGGATATCAAATCTTTATTCTGCTACTCTACTGTATTCATGTATTCGTTCAAATAGATTATATGGTGGAATCTTTAGGCTACTCTGTATATAAAATCATGTCATCTGCAAATACTGATGAGTTTTACATCTTCCTTTCTAATACGGATGCCTTTTATATTTTTTTCTTTTCTGATTGTTGTGGCTAGGACTTCCAGTACTATGCTGAATAAGAGAGGTGAAAGTGGGCATGATATAATTACAGAGAACATTCCAGGTAAAAACTGCATGGCCAACTTCCTCAGAATGGATCTTATCTGTAATAAATTGTTGTCCATGGTCAAAAATGGCAGACCGTGATTCAAGCTCATGTTCATTCCAAAACTATAGAGGGTTGTCTGCTTCATCTGTGTATGTTTCCTACTGCTGTTGTAAAAAATTACTACAATCTGAATAGTGTAAAACGACATGAATTTATTCTCTGTTAGTTCTGGAGGCCCGAAATCTGAAAAACAAGGTATTGTTGGGGCTGCCTTCCTTCTCATGACTTGGGGTGGGGGGCGGGTGGGGAATCCATTTTCCTGTGTTTTCCAGCTCGTCGAGGCTGGATGCATCCTTTGGTACTTAGTTCCTTCCTTACATCCCTCAGACCTCTGATTCCATCACCAATGGAAGGGATTACATTGGCCCCACCCAGATATTCTAGGATAGTTTCCCCCTCTCAGGTTCTTTAACTTAATTATATCTGCAAAGTTTGTTCTGCCATGTTAAGGAACCACATACACAGGTTCCTGGGGTAAGGATATGGATGTCTTTGGAGATGATCCCAAGGGACACTGGAGAAGGCATAGAAGAGGTGTGCCGATTTGTTTATTTTTTTCTAATGATGGGTTTGTTCAGAGAGAAAAAGTGCTGAAGCAGAACAATTTTGAATTGGGAAAACTAACCTTCACATGGCTATAGTCCTGGAGTCAAAGTTGAACTAATTGGTGGATATGTGTCCTCTCCCAAAAACAAATCTATGAAAGGTCATAACTTGTAAATGGTAACAACTTAAGAAAGTCTTATCACTGACAAAAAGTTAAGTAAAAAGGATATATTTTACTCATTTAATCTCAAAGCACTCAAGAGTCAATAATTTGGAGGGAGACTCTTCAAGTCTTACAGGTTAATTTTTGCCTTCCTCATTCATTAGCACTTAAGCTGTTTTTGCAGCAATTCTGGGCAGCACTGGAGCATAAGTTGTCTAGGTGGGGGACCCAGAAGCCAACCCTGGGATAAGACATCAAGTATAAGGAGGTGATTCAGGAGTATAAGAACCCCTGGCAGGCATGGGGGAACTAACAGGGCACAGAGACAACCAATGATTGATGTTACCAGGTCAGATACAGCTTCAGGTGACTGAGCTTAGTTCTTCTGGGGAAACTGGGTACCAGTGTAAACATACCCCTGAGGTGGATTCCTCCCAAGGCGCCAGGTTGCTGGGCATTTATCTACCTCCTCCCCATTGGTTGGTCATTAGCTGAAGACTGCTCCCAGGGGCCATCATCCCTTGGCATTACTCAGCAAGAGGCAAAGGACTCCCAAGGCAAGAGAAAGCACCCAGGCTGCAAAATACAGACCTGACTGTTCAAAGTGATGGGCTGGTAAAGTGGTAAAGGCTGAGGGATGTGCAGGTAGAGCAGTAGCGTATACAACATGACCAGCAGAAGGGTTTCCAGTGGAGCTTTTTCCTGTGCATGATGGTTATTTTACTACAGTTAAAAGAATCAAAAGATCAGGACCAGGACAGGTATGACTTTAATGCTTCTGCTGTTATATTTTAGAATAGAACAGGATGGTTAATAGCTACCAAGTTTCATGGCTTCTTGTGTTTCAGAACATTCCATTGAAGTCTGTATCTTGAATTATTTTGTAAAATGACATTTCCATGATGTAGAATTAACAATGAAATCTTAAAAGATAATGCCAAGTAACGCAAAGAACAAAGGCCTAGTAAGCATAAATTTTCACTTTGTGGACTTCCTTGTCCTCACATTCCCTCTGTTTGTTGTAGTAATAGAAAGTATTGTCTCTTCTCTGGAGTTTCTTCACATATCCAGTCTCTGGCCAACGATCAATCTACATGTCAAAAACCAAAATACAAACATTGTCACGTGGTTTTATTTTATATAATATTTTATTACCAAATAGTTAAAAGTATAACTCACATCAAAAATTAACGTATGAAATTAAAATACTTGAGCTCTTAGAGACTGGGTGTATTATACATATACTCAAACACAACTTCTTAAGTTGCATCCTCTTATGGCAAAACAACTAATTCAGTGCTTCTCTCTAAATTCCAAATTTTAGATTTAAATTTCTACTCAGTGGCCAAGATACTCTAAACTTTACTCTCATTTACAATACTCTAAACTTTATTCTTAAAACACTTTAAACTCTATTCTTATGTTTACAGATGATTTCAAATGTTTTTACTTCCTGACTTCTAGAAGTAATATCCCAGAAGGAATAGTGCTAACCCCAGACTCCATTCTGAAAGCACCTGTAGCTGACTGTTGAGGTGCAAGAGTGACTAAAGGAAGCAGCTAGACTTGATATATCTAAGGGACATATGTATTTTCTCACATCTATATTTCAAGTTGATCTTGAAATTCAATTTTTAGCCCTGGCTGGTGTGGCTCATTTGATTGAGTGTTGGCCTGCAAGCCAAAGGGTCTTTGGTTTGATTCCCAATCAGGGCACATGCCTGGGTTGTGGTCCAGGTCCCCAGTGAGGGGTACTCAAGAGGCAACCACACATTCATATTTCTCTCCCTCTCCTTCTCCCTCCTTCCTCTCTCTCTAAAAATAAATAAATAAATAAATAAATAAATAAATAAATAAATCAAATCTTAAAAAAACCCCTCAATTTTTAGTAGAAATTTAAAGTCATGAATATAGTCCTCAGCAAACTTTTCTTACTTCCCCCCCATTATTCTATCTTATACATCTTATTGGTTGGATTATGTTATTGTTTGGCCTAATCTAGTTTGGACACTATTCTCCCATTCCTCTGCAGATTCATGTTATGACCTCTTAATCACGTCAGTGCATTCTTGGATTTTTTTCCCCCTGGATTCTGTGAGATGTACTCTCATTGTCAATAACCTGTTATTCAAGTTTCACTGTCTAGAAAAACCAAATCCTGTTCATCAACAACACCCATACAGGCACCATCATTTGTCATAGCCCCCTCTTATAAATCATAATTTTCAAGGGAAATATTAATATAAAGGAATACACATTCTTTATTTCCAACAGCTGATTTCCATTTTCTTCTGTTGTCTCATTTATTTAGGAATCAGCAAAAGTAGGTGGCAGCATATCTGATAAACCCTGGCAGGCCCTCTGATACGCAGGAAAAAAAAGTCATGAATTCTCTCACATATCAAACCTGCCTTTTGTAGCTTCTATTGCCCTCAGCAAAGAAAGGAAGGTGTTCTTAAGGCACCATTATAGCTCTCTTCCTCTTGTGGCCAGTAGCAGATTCTTTTTCATTTCCTAGGATCTTGAACACCATCTCGTGCAGTGAAGATACCGTACGTACACAGCTGCTTCTACAGAACATCCATAGCCACTTCCTATGGGACAGAGCCTCCAAACAGCTATATTGGTTCTGCACTCAACATCTTTGCTCTTTCATAATTTTTTTCATCTTAGTGTTTCACTTAATCACTCTCATTCAATTTAGGAATACTTCACCCCGAGAGACTATAGACATGAGTGGTATGGTCCTCAAATCCAATTCCCTTGAGGTGGGGAGAGCAGTAGCACTAATATTGCCCATAAGGGTGAGTGCCTCAGGTCAGGACAAAGAACTTCAGTCACACCCTTCAGATGGCTGGTTTGTGACACTCAAGACAAGTCTCCAGTGAGCACCCTCCCCATTCTTTAAAGCCCACTGCAAATGCCTCCGGGGGCACAAAGCCTTTTCAAAGGATGATCCCAAAGGAAGTGATATTTATCTTCTTCTGAATTTCTGTGCTTTTTTTTTTTAAGGCCTATATCTTGGCTTATTTAAGGTGTTCTTGTCATTAGTAATCTTCTTCAAGATATAAGAATAATAATTATCATTCATTAAACACTTTCTGTTCATTCACTCAACAAATTATCACTGAGCACTACAGTGTCAGGCACTTCAAACACATTTTCATTTCATTGCTGTGACAATTGTCTGATGGCGGCACTGCCATGCCCATGTTGCAGTTGAGCTCAGTGAAGGTAAGAACCTTGTTTGGGATTACGCCACTAGCGAGGGTCAGAGCCAGGTTGCAACCCTTGGACAAACTGATTGCAAATCCTGTACTCTTCCTACCGGCCCACTAAAGTTCTTGAGATAAGGCATGTGCTTATATTTTTTATTTCCTAAAGCACTTTGCATAGAAATTTGCACATGTTAGGTGCCTAATAAACATATACTACTGAGGTGAAATGCAGAACCTCTCCATAACTGCCAAGTTATACAGTGAATAAGGTTGTTCTTTCTTTCATCACACACACACACACACACACACACACACACACACACACACACACACACCCTTCTTAGGTTGTTTTTGGGGCTTCCACTTTAAGAATGTTCTTATTGTCCTCTTAAATCTGATTTTACCTCAATTGCAACAGTACTGTGTGTGGAGGTGGAGGTGCAGCTGTGCTTATATGATCACATTGTCTTTATGATCCTGGATCTTATATATCTTTTAGGGGCATCCCAATTTAAGGCAACGTATGAAGTTTATTTCTGAACAACACTAAAATGTTCATGCTTGTGTTTTTTCTGTTTCAAAGTCACAGATGAAACAATAATGAAGAATACCTTTTGGTAATGGGGACAGAGAAAAATGTTAGATGTCAGAAGATTAGTGCAGTTGGCCCCCTCCATCTGTGGGTTTTGGATCTGTGGATTCAACCAACTGCTCACTGAAAATATTTGAAAAAAAGAAATCTCAAAATGTTCCAAAAAGCAAAATTTGTATTTGCCATATGCCAAGCACTATACTCAATCCACACAAATAAAGTGATATATAGGTATACCCTGCTATAGCCTATCTGAAAATATAGGTCATATGCAAATAGTATGCCATTTTATATAGGGACATCCATGAGTTTTTGGTATCAGGAAGGGTCCTGAAACCAATCCCCTGGGACACAGAGGGATGACTATATATGAAAATTATAGTCATCAAACCTTCATTTAATCTGTGTTTATAACTTCTTTCCTCACCAGTCCTACTAATATCTGTCAAATTGATGTCCATTAAAGAGTCTGTCACATTTTAGCTCTGTAATGCCTCCAATCCCTTCTCCTATCTACTTTTAAAGGAAGTATTAAGTAGAGACCAAAGAATAGATTGAAGGAAGAAAATATAGAGATCTGAAAAATCCACATGTGAATTAATCTCAAAAAAATGGAGAGTAGCCCTGGCCAGTGTTGGTTGTAGGGTCATTCCACAAACTAAAAGGTCACATTTCAATTTCCAGTCATGGCAAAAGCCTACATTGTGGATTTAGTCCCTGCTAGGGATGCCTACAAGAGGCAACCAATTGATGTTTCTCTCACACATTCATGTTTCTTTCCCTCTTTCTTTCCTTCTCTTCCCTTCTCTCTAAAAATCAATAAGCATGTCCTCAGGTGAGGATTTTTGAAAAATGAGAGTAAATACTAAATAAATAAGTTAATAACACATTTTGTTATTAACCCCAAATCTGAGCATTAAAACATATTTATGAATACTATATTTATATCATACTCTGTAATATTCTTAAAAACTCTGTCTCCTACTATCTTGTAGAATAAATGAATTTTTTACAAATCTCACTATAAATTGGTGCCGTGTCTAGATTCTGATCTAGTCTTTGCAAAGTGAAGTCATGTCTCTAATCTCTCAAGAAAGCCTGGGAAGCACAACCAAAGTCAGGAGTTGTCCTGCAATAATTTTTTTTGTCATCTATAATCACCATAACAAAGAGAATTTAACCCCTTTACAATCTGTGGTCAAAATTTAAAAGAAACTGGCATTTAGCAGAGCATAGTAGTTCAATAAAAGCTAGAAAATCCTTGGTATTTGCATGCTGAGGAACCACCTCTTTCCCCAGTCTGCCTAAAAGTCACTCTTCCGGGCTGAGTCTCCTTTTCAATAAAATGAGAGAATTGGAAAAGAATTCCTTTTCAGTTATCCTCTGGTTCTTTGTTTTGTTTTGTTTTTCATACTTTTCACCATCTAACAAACTCATTTTGAGTTCAGGTTTGTAGAGGCATAAAACTTACCATAGAAACTTGTTTCACTTGTTTATATTCAATTTCATCCCGATATCCTGCTTGTTGAAATCTGTATAGATTTTCTATCTCTTCTGACCATTTTTTGGCACGACTTACTGATTTTGGTTTCACGTCAGAGCTCGCCATGGCTGCAAAGGTCTTATTATCGATTAATTCTGAAATATGCTAAAACAAAATTAATAGATGATGTAACAATGACAGTTTGGAAGTTCCTTTAAGAATAAATAAAATTAGCACTTAAAAATAATTAAGAGAGTTGAGAATCCCAGACAACAGTATGGTGACTGCCAGAGGGAAAGCAGGCTAGGGAGAGGCGGAAGAGGGTAAAGGGGAGATAAATGGTGACTGAAGGAGACTTGACTTTGGGTGGTGAATGCATGATGCAATGTACAGATGATGTGTTATAGAATTGTACATTTGAAATCTGTCTAATTTATTAACTAATGTCACCCCAATAAATTCTATAAAAATTAAAAATATATATATATTAAATTGTAAACACTTAATTTCAAGATTGAGAAGGATTCATTCTCTATTTTGGAAGTAAAAGAAAATAAACCCTGAAAGATACATATTTCTTCACCAAACAAAATTTCACTGAGAGTTATGGAGTAGTCTATGGCCATACCACCCTGAATGGGCCCGATCTCATCTGATCTCGGAAGCTAAGCAGGGCCGGGCCTGGTCAGTACTTGGATGTGAGACCACCTGGGATAGTTAGGGAGTAATGTCCTAAAGGTTAGATACTAGTCCTGGTGTTTCAGGTAAATGTTCACACATCTGAAATCGCACATTTATAACTGCTCAATAGATTGTTGAAATATCTCTCCACCGTTCCATTTGATTATATTCAAAACTGCATCTCTCTTATTTTTCCCTAAACAGAAAATGTGCGATTAGCCTTCTAACTGTCATCTCCTTTTGCTGGGAAGCAGTGGTTTCCTTTTTTCCATTTTTTAACTGGTTGGAGGCATCCTACAATTCAGTTTCTCAGGTCCCTGGGCCCTGCTCTTGTGATAACCCCATGCCAGAAAGTATATGGCTGACGTGATACTAAAATCACTGATTTTCAAATGATGTAGGAGGTGATCAATGCTCTTTGAAATTCAAATATTCAACTCTAGTTCATGTAATTGTCTATTTGCCAAATTTCTATAACCAGTTTTTCAAAAACATAATCTTACACTTGTTTTCTCATTTCTACTTATTTAGTACCAACATGTATCAGTCATTTAAATGAAATAAAGTACTCAGAATTTTACCATGATCCCTTGAACTCATTCTTTTCTTAAAATATGTTTCTATTGGTTGAAATATATTAAAATCAGACCTCATAAAGTAGATATTGTAAATGAATTCATATTTAAAGTGTTTTTCAATTACAATGACAAATACTCATTATGTTGAAAAAGTCTGCCCTGGCTGGTGTGGCTCAGTGGATTGAGTGCTGGCCTGTGAACCAAAGGGTCATTGGTTTGATTCCCAGTCAGGGCACATGCCTGGGCTGCGGGGCATGTCCCCAGTTGGGGACACATAAGAAGCAACCCACATTGGTGTTTCTTTCCCTCTCTTTCTCCTTCTCTTCCCCTCTCTAAAAATAAATAAATGAAATCTTTAAAAAAAGAAAAAGGTCAAAAATACATTGAAGTACAAAAGAAAGACAAAATAATCATCACATGAATTGAAATAGCCATCCTTAATATCAGGTAAGTATCATCCCAAATATATAAGTTAGAAGGACAGACTTTAAACATTTTGTTAAAAGGAGTCTTATAGTAAGTGCTTTTACTAGGGTAATAAATTTAGCTTTACCTAGATTTAATGGGGGGCAGGGAGGAATAAGAAATGGAAATAGAATGGACTGAATTGCTAAGTTTCAGATAAATGTTTCTTTGATATAAAAGATGTAGCCTAAAATTCCTTCAATTTTTTTTTAAATGTGAATATCAATTAAAATATTTTTTTCCAGAGAGTAAAGTGTTTTTATTTTTACTTTTCCAAGGGAAGGAAAGGGCTAGGTGTAGAGAGATATAGCAGCCCTGAGGGGTTAGGGCTTTGGGATTTGGGCTTTTATTGGATTATAATTGGATTTAAGAAAAGGGTGCTGGATTGCTGTTGTGTTGCTCGTGGGTTGTTGGTGCATCATAACACAAGGTTGCAGTTTGTTCTAATGTTATCTTCTGACTGTGGCTGCAGGGAGCGGTTAGTTCTGTCTGTCTTTCCAGTAATTTCCAGTCCTCTCACTGGCCGTGAAGATGGGTGAAGAGGCAGTCTGCTGAGTCCAGAGCAATGGAGAAGGATTAGGATCCTTTCTCCAAATCTCACAGAGATAGGGTTAGAGGGTTAGCCTGGGTTGAGCTTCTGCTGTCCAGTGCTCCCCTAGTCACAAGTCTCAGGATGGTGGAAGAGAGGGAGCAATAGAGAATGTCCCCCTATAGGCCACCAGAATGTTAGGGTGGTCAGTGACATGGGCGGTGAAAGAATTCACAAAGAGAAGAAAGTGTAGAGAATAAACTTTTTATTCACTCTCCAAGAATGGAGAGGGGCATGGTGTGGAGAGAGATACCAGCCTAATTAAAATACTTTAAAATCTCTACAAATGAGACATAGTGATGGATTGTTAAAGGAGTGTTTCTCTTTACGTTCTTTCTGCTTGTATGTCTTGATGGACAGTGATACCAGCCACTGGAAGACAGCCATGTTGGGCAGAGGAAGGTGGGGTGAAAACAATGAGTTGGTTTTTTTTTAACTTGTTGAGACTGAGCTGAGTTGAGATTCTAAGATAAGATAGTAAGTATCAGATGGCAATCAAGGTCAGAGGAAAGGTCTGGTGCAGTTGTCTGCAAATGACATCATGTGTGGTATATGAGAATGTCTTGGTATGTAATGGGAAGGGGAAAGGCCTAGACCAAATCTTGAGAACCAACACTAATAGCCAGGAGAGGAAAAGGAACAACACACCAGTGTTAGAAGGAAACTGCAACATGTGAGCAGGGTTACAAGGAAGCATGGAAAAGAGAATGAATAAAGGAAAGAATGCTTACTTATGTGGATTGCTGTTTGAGGCTGAGTTAAAACAAGGCCATAAATAAATTGTCATTAGATTGAACAACAGGGAAGTCATTGGAAACTTCAATAAGGACAGTCTCAATGAAGTAGTAGAGATGGAAGCCAGTTTAAAGTGAGTTGAGGAGTGACTAGAAGGTGAGAAAGTTGAGATGGCTTTCCCTTTAGAGAAGTTTGACTGGGAGAGGAAGTACAGAAATGTAAGTAGATCTGGATGACAATGTGCAGTGAAGAGAAGACTTTTATAGATGGGAGGGTATTTTGAATGCCAATGGGATTGATACAGTAGAGAGAGATTATTGCTGCAAGAAGTAAAATTTCTTCAATATTAATAAAAAAAATAATGAAGACTGAGTCATTTGTTTGAACTCCACATATAAATCATGCACAAATACTGATTCACTATTGTTTATCGACAATAAAGAAATTGGTCTTATGCTTCCTCCTACTTCATCTAGATTTTTATTACATTACTTATTTAACATTTTAAAGTTGTTTGGACTTATCTCCAGATTTAAATGAATTAAAATGAAGTTATCTGAGTCACACACTTCTTACCTACGTGGATATATCATTAGTATTGTTTTTGCATTTCTGGCACTGAATATATTGAATACAATATATTGACTAGACCAAAGAAGATAAAGGTATTGGTAATAACTGACATTTTTAAAACCCTTGATCTTTATTAATTAATTTAGTTCAGGTTCATGTTGCATTTTAAGGCAATACATTATTATGTTAGTGTATAAATTTATGTACAATATGGAATACCTGACAATAGATAAACTGTATTCCAGTGAAACACTCATCCTTCAATTCTATTCATTTGAATGGGAGGTTCACTGTTTTATTGCTGCACAGCATACTAGATGGATAAGACCAACAAGTGAGTTGGACATGTGGTATAACCCTACAATCCATTAATATATACAATTATATAAATATATATTCCATAGGAAAAAAAGGCACTAAGAACACGAAAGGCAAAAAGTTCACTATGTTAACTACATTTTCAAAACTAGTCATATTTTTATATGAATTTAGTGGCAGTATTATTTATGTTTCTTTTAGAGATGAAGCACATTTTCTTTTAGTAGTGGTACAATCTTAATTTTTGTTATACCCAAGTGACTTTTGCTTTATTCATATTCATTCAAAAAGCATTTTCTTAAAGGCCATCTATGTAACCTTTTGTCATTTTCAAACAAAAAAGTCATGTCAACTATAGATATAAAAATGTTATATTTTTATGTAATGGTGAAGAGGGCTCAAAAAATAAGAAGAGTAAATAAATGTAATGCATCAGTGAGCAACACCAGAAAAAAATTATCATATTTTTATATAGTTGTCCCCCATTATCCATGGGGCATGATTCCCAGACCCCTAGTGGGTGCCTGAAAACTGGATAATACGCTATGTTTTTTCCTATACCTGCATACCTATGATAAAGTTTAATTTATAAATTAGGCATAGTAAGAAATTGACAATAACTAATAATAAACTAGAAAAATTATAACAATATATTGTGATTAAAGTTATGTGAATGTAACACCTCTCTCTCTCTCTCTCTCTCTCTGATTACTGATCTGATAACTGTGATGGCTACCAAGCGACTAAGGGGTAGGGAGCATCTACAGTGTGGAGACATTAGACAAATGGGTGATTTATATACTGGCTAGGATGGAGCAGGTGAGTGAGAGATATTATCACAAGATTTTAAAAAAGATTTTATTTGTTATTTATTTTTTAGAGAGAGGGGAAGGGAGGGAGGGATAAAGAGAGGGAGAGAAACACTCATGTGAAAGAGAAACATGAATTAGTTGCCTTTCATACACACCCTGACAGGGGACCTAACCTGCAACCCAGGCGTGTGCCCTGATCAGGAATCAAACTGGTTACCTTTTGCTGTGCAGGGCAACACCCAACCAACTGAGCCATACCAGTCAGGGGTTATCATGAGATTTTATCATGATACTCAGATAGCATGCAATTTAAAACTTACAACATGTTTGTTCTGGAATTTTCCATTAACTATTTCCAAACCATGGGTGACTGTGGGTAACTG